CAGGGGTCGCCTAAGACCATCGGAAAACACATATATAATTACATATTGTTTTTGTGATTAATCACTATGCTTTAATTATGTTCAACTTATAACAATGAAAATGCATCCTGCATATCAGATATTTACATTACGATTCATAACAGTAGCAAAATTACAGTTATGAAGTAGCAACGAAAAGGGAGAGGGAGATTGAGATAGAAACATCAGTGGTGAGAGAGAATCATTGATTGGCTGCTTCCTGCATGCCCCACAATCTGGGCATGTGTCCTAAGTGGAATTGAACCCCAACCTCCTGATTCATACTTCAGCTCTCAACCATCCAGTCATGCTGGCCAGGCAAGAAGTGTGTACTCTTGTGAAATACTGTTCCCTCTGGGCCTCTGCCTCTTATCCTAAATAACCACTGTTGATTTCTGTCAGTATAAATTAATTTTCCCTGTTCTTAAACGTTATGTGTGAGAGTCATACAGCATGAGCTCTTTTGTGTCTTCTTTTGCTCTGCATAGTGCTTTAGTGATGCATCCATTTTATTTGTATATCGACACGTCATGGTTTTGTTTTTGTTGAGTAATGTTCCATTGTATGAATATAGTAAAATCGGTTTATCCCTTCTCCTGTTGATGGAAATTTGTGGTGTTTCCAGTTTCTGGCATTCCAAAGCTGCTGCAATTTGAATGCCTTTTTCATGAGCTTATAGGCCATTCATATAAACTCTTTCATAAAGTGTCTTCGAATCTTTTGCCCTGGTTAACATCTAAAATAATTTAATATGTTCCCTTACGCCGCTCTTCTCTACACCATTTTCTTAGAAACCATAGCTAAATTGGCATGACAATTTTTAAAAATCCCCCTGACAGGTTTTTGTATAGAAGAAAGTACTTATTGATAGGACTAGTGGCCTAGAACGGTGGTCAGTCTTAAGCATTTTTCAGGAGGCCTTGAAATACCATTGGAGGTAAGAACAAGCATTGTAAGGATTTGCTTCTGATAAGGCAATTATATGTTAAACATACTCATCAAATTAAGGCTTTTATTCACTGAAATCTGAAATGAGACTGATCCTTTACTTACCTTCCCTCCCCTCTGAAATGCTTATTTTGGTAGATACATTAGAGTTCGTCAAAGTGCTTACTTGGGGTCCTAGGAAAAGATCTGTCTGCTGAAGCTGGCTGCTCAAGTGTCTGACTGCCATGACTAAATGTTACAGGACATGTTGATCCCAGGTCTCTCCGTATTGCACTGATGGAAACGGCCCTGAGCCCATTTGGTCTTGCACAGCTTCTAGGACTTCTTGAAGCAGGTTTCCTGCAGGAAAACTCTAGGTAGGTGGGGCTTCACCAATCTCAGATAAAAAACAATTTTTCACACAACAGTCATTTATTAAATATTCTTGGCAAGCAGGCACAGAACATAACAATCTGTCCTATGAGCTTAGCTCCTGCAGTTTGGGGTATTCTGACCATTCCTTTATGAAAGGTTCTGTGGGGCAGCAAGAGTAACTTTCCTCACACCTTCCTAAGTCCTGGCTGGGCTAGTAGCCAGGGCAGCAGGAGACAGAACAGTAGAAAACGTCTGAAATTATTTGGATACACGTGTGGGGGTGCCGTAAGACTATGATACCCAAGGAGACACTGGGCAGTTGAGGTTTAGATGCCCTTCTGGACAAAGGAGGAGGAGGAAAGGGTCTGGGATTTCAAGGGGGAAGCAGACAGTTTACCAGTAGAGAGAGCAAGCGGGCCGGAAACAGATACTTGCTGCCGCCCCAGAAACAAGGGGACACAGGGGAAGCCAACAAGCAGGCTTTGCAGCTCTCTCGTCCGCCACAGTTCAATTCTATACGCCCTTCTTTTAAGCAGGTGCTTCCATCTGAATTCCTTACGGGGGTAAGGTTCAGAGGTTCTTTCTGAGACTTTTGTTTCTCAATAATCAGCTTAAAAAATCAATATCCCTAAAGGTATATTTTGGGGTGGCAGAGTGTCTGTTGCCTTGAATTGCCATGAATGGAGGTTAAAGCAGCTTCTATTCCTACACCGGCAGCCTCACCAACACAGCCTTTCCAGACTCCTTTAATTTTTACCAGTCTGAAGGAAAACCAGGACCTGGTGGTTTAAATTTGCATTTTGTTATTTTTTAAAGAACATAAAGTTGAAAGAAGATAGGCATCTTCATGAAATGAATTTGAAGTATTTTCCCGGTTTATTTCTTGACTTTGTTGCTACAAGACCTTTTTAAAAGTGGGTATCAATTTAGCAGTCGATTCTGTGGCGTTTAGACTTTATTTTGAAAGGCCTTCTCCAGTTGAACCCCACAAAAAAAGAATTCATGGTTTTGTTGTTTACATTAAAGTCTTTGATTCACCTGGAGTTTTGGAATCAAGTTAGGGAGTTTTACTTTTGAGGCAAACATATATGTGATATATAATGTATATATTGTATTGGGGTTATAAATACTGTCATTCTTGGGAAAGTGTTGTTGCTGTATTGTCTGTTTTAAGGAGGGTCTTTGCAAAATTTTTCACGGATTATTAAAGTAACACTATAACTAAACTGGGACTGTACTCATACTGTATCTTAATTATTTTTCACTTGAGACTATAAGAAACATAGGTTTAGACAATACTTTAAATGGTTGCTTAGCATGGTGTCGGAATTTTTGTTTTTTAACCATACTAAGGCCTTTAAAGGAATGATTGACCGCAGTAATGGGCTCACTTTAAAATTTTGACTTATTGTGAAGGCACGTTCATTGTAAATAAGGCGCCAGCACTCCCAACCAGCCCGACACTCCGTGGGTCTCCACCTGAGAGAGGACGCAGCTCTGGGTGGCCCAGGTCTGCTGGCCCGGCGCCAGGCGCGGGGGAGGTAGGAGGTGGGC